ACGTAACATAAACATTGAAATGAAAGATATATCAAGTGTCAATCAAGATTTCTACCAAATGCATGCAACGAGTATCACCCATTTTACTTCAAGTCACCCTTTACGAATTTACTTATGTAAGATCGAAATTAATGTGAAATACACTGAGCTGAGGTAAGGACTGAACTGTCGTTTCCAACAGTTAGTCTCAGTAATTCTCGACAGATGAACTTGTCAAAAGATAAAATGTCGGGAACGAAATATTAAATCCACAAGTATGCCATCAAGTGTCTATCAAGAGTTATAGTGTTTCCTCTCTGATTTTCTAGCCGACCTAGTTAATTTCCTTCTTCGTTTCCGGGGGAGTGGGGGAGGGGACGAAGAAAACTGAAAATAAACAAAAGCCCAATTGTAAACTTGTAATATTCACATTTTTAATAGTTATATTAAAATACCATGTATAGTGAAGAGACATTTATTCTTACTCATAGTTAATCTTCTACCATTAATTAATAGGGGCTTAACCATTGTTTGTTGATTAAGAAGTGCAAGAAGTTCATTTACATTACAGTCATCTCATTGCACACCAAAATTTGTGAGTTCACAAGGATACTTCGCTAGATTTCATGATATCAATTATAAGAAAGTAAAAATAAAAATTACAATGAACTTACAACCAAACCAACATTTCTATCTTCCCACCATCAACAGGAAAAATTCCATGAATCAAGATAATCTCTTTTCGAATCATAACATTGTTTTCCTTAAGGGAACACGAAAATATCCAAATCAAGTCAAAAAAAATAAAATAAAAGAAACATACCAAAAAGTAGATATTGATCTTCAACAATTCTCCTAAACTTAAGTAGATTCCTTATAATTTCAATAAAATGTACATAGGTTTAGGACTTCAGCATGGCTGTTAGAGTAAACTGTATGAACTTTTTAGACCAACAAACCTGGACAAAAATAGATATTTTGGCAATCACAAGTGATCTTGAGCGAGAGAGGAATTTGAGATTCGTTTAGCTTTAGGGCTTTAGTTGCTATATGAATGAATATTTTTACCTTTTTAGTTTTCATATTTTTTTAGTTTTTTTTTCTTGTAAGTAGTGAGATGGGAGCTTTTGATGTGATACAAATTAACTTTTTGTACTATTCTTTCATCTAATCAAATCAATTTTAATTAAGGACATCCAAAGTATTTCAATTTTTTTTTAGGGCCATAAAAGTCATAAAGTGATAGTTTGATCAAAACTATTAAAAGGTGACATTTTTGTAAGTGCAAACTCAAAAAATGACATCCAATGTAATTTCCACTTTTTTTTAAAAATATAAAATATATGGTTAAACTTAATTTTTTGGTCAAATGGAAAAATGGATGGAAACTGTCCAAAAAAGCCTCTATTGCAATGTTTCGAAAGGTTTGGAATGACGGTTGCAATAAATTAAAGGTTTAGAGAAAGTCTTCTAATGTCCAATAAAATTGGACAAAGTAACACCAAAGAAATGAATGCAAAGTCGAGACAAGAGTTAAACTTTTTGTTTTTAAATCGATTTTGCCCCGCAGCAGTGCCTACGGATAACTACAATCGACTTTCAAGATACAACGACTAACTTCTTATGTTTGTAGCACTCCAAGACATAGGAACAGCGAACCAAATTATGGCTTTTATACTCCTTTTGAATGAAATGGAAACATATTTTTATGTAGAATTTTAGCTATGGAAATATAAATGTTTATGCTATGCTATGATTGCATATTATTGGGATGGAGTAAAGGACTTCCCAAGGGTCTAATTTATACAGAAATAAGAGGTTGTGAGTGAAGAGATACGCCTCAAAACTCATCAACCTTTGTTAAGGGCAACAGCCTTTGCTGTCCGTCGCCTGTGCGTAACTCGAGCATCAAAAATAGAAAGATTGTCGCTCCATTGTCACTTAGTGACCAGTGACAGTCTTATCACCCGCTCACTGCTCGAGCGATAAGTGAGCGATGGAGTTGGGCAAATAGCTGGCCAATTTCCCTCTTTTCATTACAATCTTGAACTGTAATTTCTTATTCATCTGGAGTTGATTTTGAGATTCCAAACATACTACACCAATCTACTCGACGAGTAGAACACATTAGTCTGTTTATTTCAATAATTTGACTATCGGATCAAGTCCGAATATTTGATCGAAGTTGACACAAATGTCACTTTACCTTAACCAATTCCAACACCTAACAACGAAGATGAAAGAAAATGGATAGGTGAAGGATTGCCGGTTTCCTGTGGAAAATTTAGACGTGAAGAATCCAAAAATACCAAGAATCATCCAATTGTTTTCATATAGGGTTTTGAACAATATCAAGAGTCAAGACAGGAAAAACTTAAATGATATAAGGGCGAAACATGGGCAGTCTTTAAGAACTGGGATAGGAATTGGTATTCAGATTCAGAGGGACGTAGAAATTATGAATTTGAGTTGATGTTTTGTCAAAACTATACTGCTTTTCTAGGCGTGTTGGTTTTTGCATAAGTAGAGTGAAAGGATTTTCATGTCTGTTTTGTCAAGTGAACAAGGGAGGAAAGAATTATGAACTGATTCCCGTGAAAGATTTATTCAGATTTGTCATAGGGTTCCTTCATTCCAGAGGACTGGGGAAGAAGGAAGAAATGTTCCAAATGGATCTTTGGCACTCGATCGTGCTTTTGTTCCCGCCAATTTAGGGATAATACCTTTTCCAAACCTAGGGAGACAGGCTTGCAAATATTACATTGTCGAAATTCCTCGCACATACGACAAATTAATATCAAGTAAGGTTCTTTCCCCGGATACAAAACAGTTTCCAAGCCGAGAATTGAAAAGGAAGCTATTGTAGAAGTGCAGATTTTACAGGCAGAGCTGCTCAGATTCTCTCATCAGGCACCTGCTTTTCGAATCACAAACAAGCAAGGTAACCATCGACAGCAAGGTTCTTGGGAGCTTGAACTTGCTGCATTCAGGATAATGTGCAAAGCTGCGGCCTTTTGCTGATAAGTATAAGTGATTTTGGGGATGACTTGGATCAAAGATTGACAGAAGGAAGCTTATTAAGGTATCAGACGAGATGGAGTTCAATCTTTTTTATCGTAATGAATGATAAAAAGGTAGGCATGCTTCTGTGCTGGAATAGTTTCTTGATTTTGAATCAGACATTTTTGTTCCACTAGGTTACAAATTGATTATATCCCCTGCATCTGATGTTTAAAAATTAAATAGAACTGCTTTTATTATGTGATGCTTGTGAATTGCAGTTGAAGTAGTAAAATGCCAATTCTTGAATGTTCTGGTACCTGTCTTCTATTTTGCAGAATATTTACATTTTAAATTTAGCCCAGGTAAGGGCTGGCTAAGCATTTTCTACATATATGAAAGTTGGGCCGCTCTGGGTCTGGCTCTCCAGGCTAGTGGTTCGTAGGTCTTTATATCTTTACAGGGTTTTCCAAAAAAATAAAAATAAATATTGAAAAGTGCGTTCGTTTTGGAACATATCAAATCTACAACATTTACTATGAGCCAAAAGGAAAAAGCATTAGCACCTGCTACTGATAATTTTACTTTTAATATCAATAATGTAGTCTCCATTAGCCGTCTGAGTGCCATATTCACAGTGCAACTGTTGGCAAGATTTAGTGTATTTTTACTCACGAGTTTTACACAATTTTAACTTCGTCATTTGTTAGATCTTATCGGTATAAAACGTTTTTAATATCAATAATGTAGTCTCCATTAGCCGTCTGAGTGCCATATTCACAGTGCAACTGTTGGCAAGATTTAGTGTATTTTTACTCACGAGTTTTACACAATTTTAACTTCGTCATTTGTTAGATCTTATCAGTATAAAACGTTTTTGACGTGTTTGTTAGTGTTGTTTTGAGATTAGGTGAGGCAGTGTAAAATGGGCATTAAGGTGAATAAAGAAGTTATAATCAACGGATTTAGAGCAGCAAGTCAGCGTCCAAACTCCTGGTACGCGCTGTGTTTCACGAAAAAAGAAGCAGAATAGATAGAAAGACAGTGCCTAGGTTTTGCCCTAGCACCCAGTCCCTGCTTGCATAGCACCTAGGCGCTACATTGTTTTTCAACGCGGCACCTAGGTGCTGCTTCCTAACGCTTAAGCGATGCGCCATTTGCTTTTAGGGTCACTCGTTTTGGCCCTTGAAAAACCCATAAAGACGACAAATTTAGGGGAAACAGGGGAAGGAGTATCAATGCAAATTTTTGACACTTCAAAAGGGGAATTCACACATTGAGAGAGAGAATATACAACTAGAAATTTCGAGAGAAAATCAAAAGGAAGGGAAGCAAAAAATCAAGATCTAAGTTTTGAAATCTAGACTTGGAGGCAAGAAGAGAACTTGATGCCAATTTCATCATCTTTTCTATATCTCAATTCAAAATTTGGTGATGTATTCAATGTAATTCTTTAGTTTTTCTTCCACTATCATGAGTAGTTAAATTCATATTAGAGCAAACAATGTAATCTTTTAAGACCTTTATTTTTTTATTCAAGATTCAAGTACTTTGAATGCGTATGTGTTGATTTTAATTATGTACTCAACGCTTTGGATTCTCTGGCCAATTATTCAATAATTTTGTGAATCTATTATGAATCGAAATGTTAGTTTTAAATTTAAACTACATATTAAAACTCACTGAATTAGTATAACGTATAGAGATACATATATTAATTACTGAAACTTTAGATGAATTATTAGAACTAATATTTCATTTAACGAAACTTGATTCGTATAGAGTTACGAAATTGAATTAGTTAAACAGGCTCAATGAGAACTCGTAAAGCGTAAATTGAATATAATAGAAGAATTCAATCGAACACTACATTAGATGTGAATCTTCAATTAAGATTTAAAGGTGATCAATAGATGAAATTGTTTTGTTTTAATATCCATCCCATATTTGAATCCTCAATTTATTTTTTTGTGCAATTTTAATATTTTCAAGCATTAACAACAAAACAACAATCACAACCATTTGTTTACTTTTGCCAAATAGTATTTAAAAATATTAAATTAGACATTAAAGTATAGTCATCGTGGGGAAGATAATCCGGACTTAAAGGTCCATTAAACTACTTGTTACGACTCATATGCTTGCGGGGCATAAAATTGACAACGTTCACCATAAACAAAACAGTCATAAACTCCTCATCAATGAATCGATTTGAACTTCTACTGGCCCTTGGATGATTTTAAAAAATTGACATTACACAAAGCTTGTTAAATATGCATCCCAGATCCTGTATCTTTGCAGTTAAGCAACTAATACTTCCTGCTACTGGTTCATATCCGACCAATCTCATATCTCTCTGGTATACAATTATACCAGGTTAGAGTTTTCAGCAACTTGAACCCGCCAGGAAAAGTAACGAATGTACAAAAAGTTGAGACTCATAGCCACTCCAAATCCCAAGACAGATGATAGCAGGATCGCATAAACAGGGGGTATATGAAGCTGCAAGATCAAACCGAATGGATATATTTTCAGTAAAGCAATTGCGATCAGAAAAAGGCTTGGCTCTCAAAACATGCACTCAGAAGACAAACATTGCCAGACCACTCGAGAGGTACGTGAGTAGGGTGTAAGCCAGACTGCCCAGACCACGTATGCCCCCGCATGACTATAGGGAAAAAAAAGGTTAAGGCTCGTAGATCCGTCACAACCCAGGCCATGCCATGCCCAGATAATTTTAGTCCTATAGGCTAGGCCGGCATTCCTAAAATAGGTTCATGTGAGCTAAAAGATCGATTTTACAGAATGTTTGGCAAAGGTTAAAAGAAAGTACGAACTTTTAATTAATTTTCTTTTCCAGAAACATGTTTGGATAGGTCAACGTCTGTAATAAAACAGAAAAACAATAATATTCTTCATTAGTTGTGCTCATCACCGGTCCAGGTACCCATGGCCCCCTAAAAATTCTATCCAATTATTCAAATGCTTCACAACTCTATTGGACATTGCCAATTGATGATCACTACTGATGAATAGCATTACTCAATAGAATCATAATTTTCACTCAGCCACCGTGAATTTGATGATCAAATACTTCTGCTCAGCGAGAACACAAGGCTAACCATTAAATTGTGAAAATGCAGAAAAGAATTAAAACGGAAGATCATTTGACTTTTTTCAAATGAGAGTAAACTGTGTGCTATAGCAATTAGACAGAAGGTGACAATATTTTATTATAGTATTTAGGAGCATCTCACCATTGAATAGAAAAGATGGAGAGTCAGGGCCACAAGTGCAAACTCAAGAGCTGCATAAATCCATATGTGCTCTTTAATTGCTGCATAGAAACAAACACATTCTAATACAATAGCATCAAGAGCAAATCACTTTAAATTTTCATGTTTATCATGCTAGCCTGGACAGTACTGGATGGTGTAAAGAATAAAATCAAGCTAGTCTTGAAATTTCTGTGAGCAATACTGTGTCATACCTAAGATAACTGCAAAAATAGAGGCTGTAAGACCTATGGCAAAAGAGAATGGGGCAGCAATGATAAGTGCCTGATTTTTCATCTCGCCAATCTGCAAGCAGAAGGACACAGCTAAAGTTGTCTGAAAAATGTAAGCATTTAAAAGATGAACCAAGTTACTGGTATTCCATAGCCTGAAAACTTACCAGTAGCTGCTCAAGGAAGAAGAAATAGCAAAATGTGCTTATCAAGAAGAGAACCACAATATCTTGCCATCTGCTGGAAAAACATGCAAAAAAAACTATATTTTTATGTTCAATTTAAACATTAGAAAGAAAAAAAAAACACAAAAGAGATATAATAACACCATCAGATTTCTAGTCTACTCTCAACCTGATATTTCAGTTCTTTATGACAGCAGTGATTCGATTGTTGAGATGTTAGTACGAGATAAATAGAATAGAAAGCAACAATCTAAAGCATTGGTACCGCCCACTGGAATGCCTCTTTCTCACAATTGACAGTAGATGACCCAGAAATGAAATGAATTCAAACAAACAACTTTTGAACTATGTGATAAGTGCAAGTTGTGCACTTATTTAAGTCATATTTCTAAACTTTTACGTCATCAAATTGTTAATTTTTATTTAACTTAGGTTAATTTTCTTTGTGTTTTAAGTGATGGACTATTTCGAAAAGGATGACGGATTAAGTGGCTATTTGATACAAAGTTTGGAGATCAAAATTCGTATTTGAAAGTGGAGGATCTGAAGAAAAAAATAAATTAAATGGGCCTAATTTTTGGATTCAAATTGTTCGGGGGAATTTGACTTCAAATTGGAGACAAAAACATGATGGCTGGAAAGACAAACGTAATTGGGCCTCTTAAGCATAGGAAAAGGGCAGCATGCTGGAATTTTGATTTCATAATATACAAGCGGCTGAACCATAGAAAAAGACGGCTGCCGGCTTGAGTATACACACACACACACACACACAAAAAACACACAACAAAGGGACTGCTGGCTGAGAAATTAGAGAGCTGAATTGGTTAAAAAAAAAAAAAAAGTCCAGAAATTGAAAAGGAATTGTGGCTGCCATTATATATATATTCCACATGCCAACTGGAAAACGATTGGAGGCAACATACAGAGAGAGGGAAAAAGGCGGCTACTGGAGAGAGAGATTCGGGCTGCTGAATTTGGGAGGGAAGAGATACACATACAATTGCCGGCGGCTTGAATTATAATATATATACATAGGCTGCTTGAATTGGAAACACAACACATGCACGGAAAAAAGGAAAGACTAACCTAGAGGAAAAAAACCAGCTGACAACTGGTTGGAATTTCACAAATATTGTGGCTGCCGGTTTAATTATCTATATACATATACAGCAGTTCGCTACCAGAGGAGAAACAGCACGGCTACGACAGTCTTACTTTGGAAAATGATCCCGTTTTGTCAAATTTCGGTGATATCTTCTCATTTTTTTGTGTTTAGTTCCAACATTATGCAAAACTAATTCTTCTCATGTATTGGATGAAGATGAATCTCCAGCCTTCCATTCATCATAACTCAGATCATTCCCGAGCAATGCAACCTTTCGTCCTTTAACATAGCTTTTTTCTTTCGACCCGCAATATGCATTTCCAGAATTTAGACCACACACGATAGTAAATACCATCCAGTTTAGTATGAATAGGTGAAGTATTTTCGTGAATAGTCAGAGAAAAACACACTTGTCGGAAACGATCTTATCATCGTTATGAGGCCTATTGACAGCAATATAACGAAGAACCGAATAGTATCAACTGAGGAAGATCCTCAATCTGTTAGACCTCTGGGGCTTACCAACCAAGATCATGGGTCGTGCAACTCTACTCACTGAAGTGTATCTGACAATAGTAAGAATGATAGAATGGTCACAATAAACCCAATAAGTGAATAAGGCACCAGAAATGGCTAACTTGCTCCAATCTGAAAGTTCCAAGGACGATTATGCAAGACTCTAAAACTTTAGGGACAAATTTGCAAACGAATTGATAGTTAAGGATGGATATGCAAGATTCTCAAACCTCGAGCACTAACTTGCACAAATAGAAAAACATGAGAGAGCCCAATTAGCCCTAAATAAAAAACCCAAAAAAGGTCCAAGTCCAAATCAATATCGGATATCCGAATAAGACACACTGGAGGAGAATCATCGAATCTTTGACTAGCCGAAAGAGTAGCCCGGAGGTTTGGGTCGAGGAGAATCCGACAGCCTTGGGTTTGCAATGAAAATATAGATCGAAGCCTCGCACATCTCAAACAAACACAAGACCCATGCTCATTCTAGGAGCCTCATGAACAAGGAAGAGAGGTCGCCTAGGCCTCATTTGCACAAAAGAAGAGGCGTAAGATCCCAGGTTACTGGAATAGAGAGTTGCGCAACTTGGCATTGACGAGCAGAAGCTTGGTGAGTGCTTTGCTTTTTCTACTTGGAGGCTCTTGGTTAGCTTTTTGATATACGAATTTTTCAAAGAATTGAATTTAGGATATGCACTGAATCAAACCTAATTTTTAGAGCGAGATAGACGGTGGAGATCGTCGGAATGATTTAAAGGGTAGATTGTCACTCGAGCGATTTACCATAGAGGTTTGACGGAGCAAGGGTAGAGGGTCGCCTGAGGATTCAACCAGGAAAACGAATTTTATTGTGAGTTCAACTCGAGAAGGACTAAAACCACTTGGATACCAACTTATAATTTGGGCTTAATGTCCCTCGAGTGCTACAGCGGACTAGAGTGAGGTTATTTCACGTGTAGGAGTTCGATTTCTAAAACATGAAATTAAATTTCTTGTAATTGCAGTGTATAGGCAATTCTTGTTCTCACACCTGTTAGGACATATCTTGCAATTTACCTCTCTCACAAAATTGGGGAGTAGGGCCCTCGAAATTAGGGTTCAACCTTTTTTTTTTTTTTTTAATTTGGGCTTAATGAATTATTACATAATAAATCAATCGGACCACGCTTCGGGTACACGGGCCCACCCGCCCCCTCACATGGGGGTCAGGGCCCACGCGTGGGTCCCGATGTGGGACCTTGCCCCAGTGAGGGGCGAGGTGGGATCGTGTACACGGGTGTGTAAACGCCCGTGTACCAATGACTTTTTCCCGATGTGGGACCTCGCCCCAGCGAGGGGCGAGGTGGGGTACCAATGGCTTTTTCCCGATGTCAATTGAAGGAAAAGAAGTAGGAAAGATAATAAAATTCTATTACTAAAAAGGAAAAATATAAAATCCTGACTAGACTAGGATATAAGCTAGATGGAATTATCTCCTTAACTCCTATTCTAACTCTTCTATTCGAACTCAAACGGAGAAGAAGCTTAATGAATAATTTTAGCACAGAGCAGTAGAAAAATCAATCAATTCGGATGTTGAACCCAAAAATAATAATAATAATAATAAAAATAATCACCTCGTCGCATTCAAACCTTGTCGATTCTGGTACCTTATATTTCTTTGAGTATCATTTGGCACCCGAAGCAAAGTCTCCGGTAAATTTGAAACTTCTTTTCGACATACATCACATACTCTGTCTCCTTTATCGCTAAACCATCTGATTGCACAATCTTCATGTACGAGTTGGAGTGCACCTTTACAGCAGCATTCCATCTTGAGTGTATTTCTTTCTTTACAGGTATCGAAACAGATCCTGCAGGAAGCTTCTTCTTGAGGAATCTCTTGATCCTTATGGGCAGGATCAGGTGTTATTTGACCTAATTTGCCACAAATCAAACGTAACAAGATAAAATTTATGAAAATCCAATTATTCAAAATCATAACAGGCTATTTTAGACTTATATCTAGTTTCATATTATTTACGAGTCCACATTATTGGTTTTCGGAAAAAAAATCACGTTTGTCTAAACTTAAAAGCTCACTTATAAGTAAATAACTTTGTTGCAAGTTATCCAATTACGGTTTCATTGTCATAGAAAATACAGGTCTATGTGACATCGCCTATTCGATCCAGCATATCAAAACTTTCAAAAATCTTGGGTTAGTATACCCTTTGAACCTCTTACATAGCCTAGTCTATATCCACAGTTGATGCAACGCCATACGAACGCCGCACTACTACTTAATTAACTTAACGGCTAGGCGATTTCATAATTTGAGCTTTCCTTAACCAGTTGACCTTACTTGGTGACCTTAGCCTCGCTTTATATAATTTTCTGATTAGAATTAGGAAAATACCATTTATAATAATGAAGAGATTCAGTCACACGAGCATTTCCATAAAAGTTCGATAAATGATCAAAAAGAGCAGAAAGATGATACCACATCACCAAATACATATGCACGAGAAATACCGCTATCAGCATCTGGAGCAGGATTTTCACGAGCAGCAAAAGATGATGACCTTACAATAACGAGATTCCTCCCAAGCACCGAGAGGGACCTCAAAACAGTAGTTTGCGAAGTACGTACCTGCAATAAGTATATGCAAAATTAGATTTCATCTTCCTCATGAATTGCACTTTCTCACGGCTTCCCATGTGCTGCACCTCTAAGCATATATTACTGATAATTCCCCCTTCTCTTTTTCACTTCCACAACTATGAATTTAAATGCATGGCTGCATGGGATGTATTACACAAAATATATGATAAAGGTAATTAGCTTTTAGAGCTGGAGGATCTGACGATGCAATGACAGAACTGATTCAAACTAATCATAAAGATGGATAATTTTTTTTACTACAACTGCAATATCCCAAAGAAATTTCTTTAAAATAACCAATAAAGAAAACAATGAAAAGTGAGAAGAGATCTATGGAAATTATTATCCTAAGAAGTCTTAGATAATAGAATCATATTACCAGTAAAAACAGAACATAAGAATTAAGAACAAAGGGAAGTTTATGATCGAGAACAACGAAACAACATTTAGGGTATACCTAATGGCCTAAATGGCACAAGTAGTTTTATTATTTCCACACAGTAAACACACCACATTCACCTGATCATGGAACAATGTCTCAATTTTTGGAGGATTTTTATTTTATTCATCAGTAAATCACTAAATTGTTTCCAATTTTTTCCTTCATTCGCTGATTGTTTCAAAAATTTCTAAAACCATTAAGATGTTTTAGCTTAATCAAGGATTTGTACCTAACATTGACACAGAAGAAACTATCGAACTGTTTACCCATAAAAACATAAAAACCAGCTAATATAACTCAAATTATAACAAAATCAAACAAACTGTTTACAAAACAGAACAGGTTTTGATAACTTGGTTCCTGTATAGAGAAATCTGAAGCTTCTTATTTGAACAAGATCGGCCCAAATGTTTTCTAACAAAGCCAACATGAAGAAAACACAAATCAATAAATACAACCATCATAAGGAAAATTTATTCTGGAAGTTCCTGTTTGGGGCATGGTTCACAAGTACTAGCAGGACATTCATTAAACATTAGTGAAATACGTATTGAGTAACTAAATGGAAATAGGAAAATAAATCAAACAGAAAAACAAAGTTATATACAAAGTATCAATTTTTTCAATGTTCAGCTTCAAATTTAAAAGCATGTCAAGCATAATGCACGCATGCTGCAGAATTATAATGTGTATGATACCTGTCTTTTTAAAAATACTAGTCATTGTAAACATGTGTTGCACGTTATTTTGAGATTCTGTTGGAGGCCTATAAAATGCTACTTTAAGATGATAGGTTCAGACGTTCAGTAGTGAGAATGAGCAACATAAACATAAGAAAATCATAGTCCATTGAAAATTTTGGAAATGTAATTTGAATTGCTGAATGCAATAACTTAAAAATTACTTCATAGTCCAGAATTTGAGAAACATTTGATTGGAAAAGACTGGGAATTATTAAAATTGATATCGTCTAGTTATAAAGCTGGTTCAAACATTTACCCTTGTCAGATATAGACCTAACTAAAGATCCACATGCCTAATGAATAAATTTTAGAATATTTGATTCAATTCAAAATAGTCAAATATCAAGCATTATTATCCAACTCCGGAAAACCAGATATGACACCGGCATGGAGTCCAAGTTTCTACTTTCTACTGAATATCTGGGCTTTATCATTGTTAGCTTCATTCTGCCTGGCCAAAGCTTAGAATATTGCAGTCTTGCTTCCTTACAGTTTATTTATGCCCTTTTAGCTTAATACCTAACACATTCAATCCTCCATTCCTTCCAACATAGTTTCAAGCAAATGCCAATTTTAAACTTTCATCGGAAAAGAGATCAGGTAAAGTATATATAAAAGGTGGTATTTAGGTACTTCTGTTTGTTTTGATGTACAAAACTAATTATAAAAACTGGTATTTAGGTCCTTGCTAGCTTTCTATATGCAATTAGCGAAAGCATATACAATGGCTCCATATTTCATTCTAAGATCCATTGGAACATCAAAAGCAAATACATTTTTTTCGAATCAAATCTTCTTGCAGCCTTTGAGCGGGCAGTAATGGAAGTTAAAGCCCAAGAGGAGGCAGAGAGAAGGGTTCTAATCGAGGAAATAAATTGGCAAGAAATCGACGAAGCCCCCTCCCCCTAAAATCAATAAAAATCAAGGAAATTGCTGACCCTCTACTAGAATTTGAAGACAAGTGACCACCAGGGGGTAGCGACACGGTTATCCTCTACACCGCTGGCCTTAAGAGGGACACGAAAGACATTCAGCAACTGTCATAGAATCGGGTTGTTCGAAAAATGAATCTCAACTCGTTTTACTTAGCCTTTGTTTGGTTCAGCTTAAATTTTGGATTAAAATTTATGTCAAAGTCGATAATTAATTATAACCATACATTTCATGGAACTCACAACTTTTCGACTACACATTTATCAACATTTATCAAAATCTATTGAAAATCTTATTTTTATCTATACCAAATAGTAGCTTAATATATTATTAGATTGGAAGCAAACTTCTAAGTGAGAATTCATAGCATCCAAAAATGAGATATAATAACATGTAATTGCTAGTAATTAAAGTTGGAGTTCAGGCACTAACTTACCAAAGACTTTTGTCTTTCGCTAAGAGTCCTTGCAGATGTAGGCGTAATAACTGGAGGTGACAGGATCGTTGCACGAGTGACAGGAAGGGAAGTACGCCTTTTCCAATTAATGTTTGGCATGGGATTGGCAAAAACTGGGCTTTCTGAACTAAGGAGAGGGCGTCTTTCGCCATCTGTTGCAGTGACCCTTTTCTTATAGCTTAGACCCCGAAGAAAGCCTCCAATTGAATAATTTCCATTTAAGACACTTGGAAACTGGAGTAAACCTTTGCCCCTACGGCTGCTCCCAAAACCCCCAGGCCTTGGAGGTATTTGAAGGGTTAGATCTGAACTATTCGCACCTGGGGCCGAATTCATAATCATATTCCTGGACTCCCTATCATAAGAATCAACCTATATGCCATGAACAATTGTTGCCAACATAAGATTCAGAAGGAGCAGCATAGTAAATAATCAAGATAACAGAATCTCCATAAAAGGTTTAAAAGAAAAAATCTCTGACCCAAATAGTGCTAACAATGAGGATCTAATAAAAAAAATTTATATCAATTGTGGTGTCTAGTCTCCATAAGTTAAGGAGACAAGAAGGATGAATTGCAAGAGGATCTAATGGGGCACTATATTAACAATAAGATAAACAAAATGTATCCAAATGTAGTGTTACCTTTCGATAGAATTTGCAAATGGACTTCGTTAAGTTGTCAAGATCGTGCAGTATATTAAGATGTAAAGGATTGCTAAACAGGTTGAGATGTTCGATTTTTTTTCTCATGGCAAAGGTCGGGTATAATTTTGATTTGTTCAATTCAGTGAACAAATCCTTCTAAAATGTGATTATGCATTCCCACTTCTAATTGACAGACCTTGACTATTGCTATAACATCATAAGAAGAGTGAAGAACAAAAAGATAAATGATCACCGTCATCTGTACTCAACACTAAGATTATCTGCATAAATCATAAATGCACTTGTAAAAAGAGATGAGTATCGACAAGGAGAATGCACAAACTTTCAAAATCAAAAAATAATAGTTGATGTAAAAAGACTGCAGAAAGTCTAGAACACTTGCACAGAAACACAAGTATCACCACATAAAACATGAAAATGGTTACTTTTTGCTTTTCTTTTCAAGTAATGTCTAAGCATATAAATTTGATAACAAGAAGAAGAAGCAGCAGCAAGGCATTGTCCCAAATAAATTTGGGGTCTACTACATGAAACCTCTTTCTCCACTCCATTCAGTTCAGTACTAGATGCCAACTTTTCACTAAACCCAGGATCGGGACGTCATCAAAATATGCATAAGCACATATACATATAATTCAATTTATCAGAATTAGTAAATTTAGTGGAAACTCCCTCAAATATGGAAAGAATTTACTAACACAACATATAATCTTACTATCATCCATCACCAATCATACACATTAAGCAACCATCAAGCAACTTATGCTATTAAATCAACAATTAAGAAAACGTAAATCAAAACCATCACCCACCTGCACAACATGGCCATAATCTCCCCCTTTGTTGATGTTTTCTTTCTTTGGAGTTCAAAAAAGGGTATGCAATTCAGGACAAATTTATCAAATAAAAAAAGGATAGGTTCTTCCAACATAAAAGGTTTATTTGCACTATAGTATCATCAAAATTTGCTAGAATTAAAAAATTTCAGCAACAAAGAACCCATCTTTTCGCAAAATCAGCTCAAAAAATAAAAATTTGCAAGGAAATATCATTCAATAAGATGACCAATAAACACAAAGTATTCAGACTTCAAAAACCATAAAACTTCAATAAATATTCTGACCTGTGATGTTAATGTTGAGGACGCTGCTATTGGTTTACCCTCCGAAAAAGTATTATACACCCCATTTTCTGTTCTGGGTTTTGCCATTTCTTTACTCTAGATCAAAAACCAATACAAATATTCACAAAACCAATCCCAGAAAACAAGTAAAGCATCCAAAAAGTGCTAAATTCATCTTTCATACAAGAAAGACTACGGAAAGTGAGGGTTTCCTTCTTGATTTTTACTTGGAAAATGAAAGGAAGGTCAGGTGACGCCCCCACACGGGTTGCTGTTTTCTTGCCTTGCACTCCTGAGTTTGGACCTGTCTCCTTGTTTGACTCTTGTTTTGCTGCAAAAGTCTTTATTTTTTTTACTTATTTTTAATCACATATTTATATAATAAAATATTTTACACATAAAATAAAATTAAAAGAAAAATAATATTTTTAACCCCATATTCTCAAAAAAAAAAAAAAACACTATTTAAAATATCATTTCTCTTTATAATGACCATCAACAAAAATTGTATCAATAGTCAAACACTGAAATGTCATTTTGTTCGAAAAATACTTTCCTTTTTGGGTCCGAAAATAGGGAACTATCAATTAGAAATTAAAAGATGTTAAATATATTCAAATCATAATTTTAAATAGCTAGACTGTATTTTAATTATATGAAAGGTTTGTAAATTTTAAATGTTATTTTATATCTCAAACTTTTTTTTTTTTTATATCTTATTCTTAATCTCAAATTAACATAAATTATTCAAATTTATAATTTTTAAATTTTATCGTATTTAGTAAACTTAAAGGAAACGCGGTTGGAGTTGGACCTACAAGTGGGGAGTTGCTTTAATAGAGTTGGAGTGGAAAAAAAAATACTCCACTTTTCATAAATTTTAGCCTTTGTAATGATATATTAATATATTCTTATCTTTGTAAATTATTTTCGAATTGTTGACACATAAAAATTCAGCCCAAAACGAACAACCCAAGAAGTAAAGCCCAATTGGAGGATCCCCAAGTCAGATAGCCCAAAGAACGAAGTCCAATCGAACAAATCAAGGTGAAGGCCCAAATAAGGCGGTAACGTCATCGCCCAAGTTTGCAAGTCGCTCAGAATCTGAACGAATAGAGTGTCATACGGTCGCCCAGAGCTGTTACTCTATTCTCGCTCAAACCTTCAAGTTGCCCAAAGTATCAACAAACATAACGCGTCGTGGTTATCAAGAAATGCAGTTATCAAAGCAGTTGTTAAAGCAGCCCTATCACGTTCCACGATTCAAGAAATTCAATCGAAAGCGATTGAACGATAAAAGGTAATGGCAGCAGTTAAAAGGCAGTTTTCGTGACAAAATGACCACTACGAAGAAAGTGGGTAGTTATAGGACGATCAAGCAGTTTTTAGAGTAGTTAATCACAAAGAGATCGTCTATGAAGTATAAAAGGGAGAAAGGACATAGAAGCAAAGGACCGAATCCAAAACTCTCGAACAGAGAATATGTAATTTTCATTTCCTTAGCTTTTAGATTTAAACACTTTTCTTTCAGTAACTCGTGTGCTTGCACCCCTTGGAGGCACGTTGTTTTTCATTTCCAATTGTAAAGTCATCGCCAATAAAAGAACATTCATTTTTGGGACTTTGTCTCAAGAGGTTTGTCCCTTACACAATTGTCTGACCTTTTTTAATTGTTAGCGACTAACCCGCGCGAAACAATTTGGCACGCCCAGTGGGACAGTGGTGTTAGGTGTTGAAAGTGCAAAAGGGGAAACAATATGCCTCAGAGATCCGATAACGAAGCAGCAAGTCAGGGAGGAATCCAGTCTGTAATCGAGCGATATGAGGAGCAGCATGCCTCTCCACGAACAGATGAACAAAATCAGAGCAGTAACAGTCGTTACGAACCAATGACGGAGTTGAGTCCTCGAACCATGCGTGCATTACTCGGAGAACTCACGCAAAACGTCGTTGAACAGGTAAATCTTCAAAGTATTCGTAATATGGAAAGATTTACACAAAATGGGAATGTACACTATGACAACATGGCCAAACAACTAAAGACGTTGAATGAAACAATGAACAAGTTAGTGGGCCAAATATGTCAACCGGCTATACCTCTTACAAGTCACTTTCAAACTAGGACAATTGTAGGACATAATCCTTCAGTCCCCAATCCGAGTCAAGGGGTAGAACCACTTTCTGGTCCCTCTACTTCAAACCAAGGGGGTACTACAGTACCAAATCAAAGCAATGGTAGTGGTATGCCTAACTTGGGGGGTAATCCAAACATGAGAGATAATGTCCTAAACAATGGACATAATATTCCACGTGGTAACGAGGGAGTAGATGTTCAGGCTAATGGTAATGGTCCTAATCATGGTAATTTTGTTGCCAATCAAGGACCAAACATCAGACCTCATGCAAACCAACCGGTTAACCAACCTGTAGGAATTTCATATGACCCCAACGTCATGTTGAGGAACCAGATTATGGAAATCGTACAGGATCAGATGGCTTTTGGGGTGCGTCCCGTCATTAGGCCGACGTACACAAAGCCATATCCTGATTGGGTAGATCAAGCATATCCATGGCCTAGAGGATACAAAGTGCTAGAATTCTCACTGTTTACTGGTTTAGGAGAGGTGTCTACCCTAGAACACATAGGGCGATTCACATTACAAAGTGGTGATGTAACCGATTACCATAAAATGAGACTTTTCCCTAGTTCGTTAACAGGAGTAGCTTTCTCCTAGTTCATCAACTTGCCAGTGAACTCTGTTCAAACATGGCAACAATTGGAACAGTTGGTTCACGCTCAGTTTTATAAAACTGAGTTTGAAGTCACTTTGGCCGATTTGGCGAATTTACGTCAAATGCCAAATGAATGGGCAGAAAGTTTTCTCCAAAGGTTCAAGACAGCAAGAAGCAAGTGTTTTGTACCTCTGCCCGAAAAAGAATTTGTCAAAATCGCTCAAGGCTGCTTGAGCTTTGATTTAAAAAAGAAGTTCCAGGACAAAGAATTCCCTGACCTTTTCCAGTTGAGTGCAAATGTGATTAGGTATGAGCGACTGATAAGAGAAGAAGAACAAATGAAAAATTCTAGTAAAGGGACTTATTACAAAGACCCAAATTTTGACGTTCATACCATCGACGACGAGTCATACGATCAGGCCAAAATGTGTTTGGCCGAATTGTTCAAAGGGGATACATATACTTGTCCCATAATGGCCAAGTCTAGACCATCAGGCAAAGATGAGCCCATAAAGGATGGAAACATAAAGGCTAGAACGTTCTCGTTCGATGTGACCAAAGCTGACCTTATATTCGACAAGTTATATAGGGATAAGCAGATAAGATTGAGCGATAAGCACAAATTGCCAAATCCTGAACAAATTAAGGGTAAAAAATATTGTAAATGGCATAATGCATGGTCACATCTGACTAACAATTGCTTGGTTTTCCGTCATGTATTGCAGGATGCTATTTTGTGCAAGGTGTAAAAGGGAAGTAAATGGAAACACGGAGAAACCAGGGACATGGCAGCATTCTCATCGCCCTGTTTTCTTCCCAAACATTCAGCCTGGTAGAGGGCGAGGTACATCATTCTATAGAGGACCGCCTTTTGAAAGGCAGTTCAGACCAGCAGATACTGGAAAAACATTTAGGCCGCAACCTCGCCAGCCAAATGTATGGCATTCATTCCAGTACAGTGCAAGAAGGGCAATACCCTTCGATGAAATGACTAGGACCCAACAAAGGCATTTCCAATGAAACTACGGACGGATGATGAGGCAGCAACAAGGAATGCCACATCCTAAAGCGCCAATACTACTCAAGGTAGCCAATCAAAACGTCCTCAAAGGTAGTAAAGAAATCGGTACAGATGAATCAATGAAGGAACTGCCAGAAACCTCTTCTGGGAGATCAAGGTTTGAGAGGGACAAGAGGGATGAAGAAGATCCAGATCAGCCCCTTGCTATCCAATTCGATACGTTGCCTCCTGTCGTGGCCAATAATTACCTACTGGCCAATGAATTCAAGAATAAGGAAAAGGAAGAAGAGAGGGAGGACAACGAAGGAGAAGCCTGCGTGTTGATATGTGAAGAAGGCCAGACTTCTGGAGAGGCCTACAACGATGAAGAAGACGATGGGATGACGGACATTGAAGAAGAAATCGATCTAGAAGCAGAAAGGAAAAAGAGAGGAGTATCGCGCAATACTCTGTTTAAGCAACTACATCAAGAGGGAGTTCGCGAAGTAGACTTGTTGGGGGAGCCATCTGGGCGTCCTTTCGATTTCTTCGTACTGTACAGGACACCCAAAAGGAAGAAGAGAGTGCCTCGCTCTGAAAAGTATGGGTCACCTCCAAGAATAATGCCCCCTCCCACAGGTTGGATAACTGATGAGGAAGCATTAGAAAAAAGTAAGAAGGAAGTTCAGAGGACAGAGGATCAGCGTGACATACTGCACGTCGACTTGTCACAAGGGGATAATTCGACAGAAAACAAGCAAGAGGTAGAAATAGAGGCTGCCGAAAAGGTTATTTTTAAACGGCCAGCCATGAAATTGATTAAACACTTGAGACCGTTATACGTTAAAGCTCTAGTTAACGGCGTCCCAGTGGCAAAAGTGCTTGTCGACAATGGAGCAGCTATAAACACGATTCCATCTAGGATGATGAGAAAGTTCGCAAAAACAGAGGGTGACATAATTCCTACAGAAGTCATTCTCACTAGCTTCAATGGAGGAGCAACTTCAGCTAAGGGAGTTATGCCATTAGACATAATTATAGGTACGACTACTAGGACCACTGTCTTCTTTGTAATAGATGGTCATACTAGTTACAACGTGCTCCTAGGAAGAGATTGGATACACGGAAGTCGCTGTATACCCTCGTCGCTCCATCAATGCCTTATTTTTTGGAATGACAAAGGCGAAGCAGAGGTAGTACAAGCCAATCATAGGCCTTTTGTCGCAGAAGCAAACTCGGTGGAGAAGTTCATGTACGAAGGAAACTATGGACCTGTCAGAGTAGTGCAAGACGGGGAAGAAACTCAGGTTATCACGCAAAGCGAAGAACCATTCTCAGTGGACGCACTCACTGAAATGTTCAAACAAATGCGGCCAAATATAGTGGCCCTGGAAGAGCCAGTAATTGGCAAAAGAATAATTAAGGAGTCTTGAATGGACTTTAAATTACGAAAACAAATGGTCGACATTCAGGCCTTTAAAGCCAGACTGATGGCTTTCAACAAGGAATGCAATGACAAAGCAAAGGAAGAGACTGCCCTAAAAGGGCCGAAGGACAAG